CTCTCTGCAACTGGATTCCAGGAGTTCAATTCATTGTTTAGTTGTGGGTGTCTGCTTCTGTTTCCATCAGCTACTAGATGAGGGCTCCATGATGGTGGATAAGTTAATCATCAATCTCATTATCAGAGAAGGACATTTAATGTAGCCTGTCCACTATTACTCAGATTGTTTGTTGGGGGTCATCCTTGTAGGTCTCTGGACATTTCTCTAGAGTCACTTTTCTCTTCAAACCTATAATGGCTCCCTCTATTATGGTATTTTTTTTTGTTCTCATCTATTTGTCCCCTGACACAATCTTCCTGGTCCCACATGTTCTCTCCTCCTCTTCTCTTTCTCATAACTCCCTCTCCACTCAACTTTTAACTAAATTTTTTTCATTGCCCAAGCTATGTAGTATATAGGGCTATAGAATAGTATGCAGATAGTAAATCATAAGTACATTTATTTAAATATAATATCTGATATATATGTATATATACAATTTTGATAATTATTAAAGCAAATCTGCATGCTAATCTGTGTTTATTTTTAAAAAATTAAATTCGGCTTTTTATTTGATCCTTGGGACACACAGCACCTTTAATGGTTTTTTGGGGGGATGCGAGTTTGTTGATATTCTACAATCACCAATCCTGAGAATAACACAGGGGGAAAATGGCAGAATAATATTTAGAGAAATCTCAAAAACTATTGGAAATTTTGTTCTTGTGATAAGCTAAACTTTACCAAGTGACATTTCATAAAATTAAGTCAGACACTCAAACAGTAATTTTTAAATTTAATCATCCTAACAGTATAGTTCAAAGGTATATCAATTTGATACACACAATAAGGAATAGCAGTATAAAATACTAAAAGGTTAATTCCTATGATTAAACCTTTTTGTTTAAGTAGGAGCAGATAACTATGTACAAGGAGTAACCACGGGAGTTCACAGTGTACCTTAGTGTGGCATCTGAGCTGTAATATTTCAGGTAGTGTGCAATGGCTTTGCATGCTGTGACAGTATGCACCGTGCAAACTGTGCCTGTTGTGTGTCCAGAACCAAGACTGCAGTGAAGTCACACATTGCATCCTAGGAGCAGGTGGTCAAAAACACCTCCCTTTCAATGTGCATTTAATGTAGAATTGATTTTTGATCGCCACGAATTCAGAAACTTATGAATTCTTGTCATTTTGTTTGTTAACCCCCTTTATGCAAGGTCCTTACCCACAGTTTAAAAAGATTGAGTCTACAATACAAATGAGTCTACAATACAAATGAGTTTATTTCTCTGTATGTACGTAATTACAATCCCTATGCAGATCAAGCTAGAGAGTGATTCCTCAGCTCCAGCAGGTTTCCTCAGCCTGATCCACTAACCCTTGCCTCACATGTCTGATCTGTGCTCAGTTAGATTAGCGATCTCCTTCTGCTGTGTATTTCCTTGCCCATTTCCCTTAGTGTTGTCTTTAGATTTGTCCACATTGTCTGTAACTATGGCTCATTTCGTTGCTGCACAGTACAGTATCTTATAGTATCAGCATGCTAGGAGAATTTGTTTTGAGAACTACCTCATATTTCACCATAATCTGTTGAAATCACTCTGAAACAATTACACCAGCTCTCTGCTTCCCTTTGTGAGTGACCCACTTTTTCTTTCTGGATATAGAAAGAAATTTTATAATAACAATTAAGCTAAGATCAATTCAATCAAGGGTTATTTTCCTTAACAGTTTTTTTTTTCAGTTGTGCCCCATTGAGTCATAAAACTGGTACATTATATTCTTTAGTCCAAGAATTTTTCAAAAAAATATTTAAAAATGTTGGGCTGGTGAGATGGCTCATCCTTTCCACCTAAGACCAACAATCTGAATTTGATACAAAATCCCATGGTACCATGAAAGAACTGGCTACTGAAAGTCGTCTTCTCATTAGCTATTGCGTTGTGCTTGCTGCATTCATGCAATATAACCCAAGCACATGTAAGTAATAGAGTTTATATTTTATCTTAAATATCTTTAAAACTGCTATCAGCAAGTATTACATGTACACAATAATGGGTTTCAGTATGACATTTTCATAAAATATGTACCACATTTTGATCATACTTCCCCCCTTCGCCAATTCATCCCCCGCCCACTGACCCTGTCATCCCTCTTACCAGACAGACAACTTCTGCTTCAGAATATTGTATGTGTATTCATGTGTGGTGGAAGCACAGGTATTGTTATGTCTATAGATGTTCATGAAGGCATGTAGGTGTGCTTATACATATATGCCTGTGTATCTGGATGTCAGATATGTATCCATGTGGTGTTTTCCCCAATGGTGTATGTAGAGGTCAGAGGTGTATGTAGAATGTTCTCCTCAATTTGTACATAGAGGTCAGAGATATATGTGAGGTGCTTTTCTCAATAGTTTTCCAACCTTACAGGGTTTCTTATTGAACCTGAAGTCATGCTCATCTAGATGGGCTCATCCATGAATTCTAAAGACCTGCCTGTCTCCACCTCTAGAGTGCAGAGGTATTCTGGAATCAGGTCCTCATGCCTGCACAGTAGGCCCTACACCAACTGGGATGTATCTGCAACCCCGAATGACTCAGTGTAACCTTTTCTGCTCTCTACTTTCAGAGTTTGTATTATCAACATATTAATCTTTTCTTTTTTTTAAATCTACCTTATCAAAATTTCTTGTACTATTTTAATTTCATTCTTTTTTAACATTTACAATACAGCATCCAGCTTTGATTCAGGTTGGAAAATAAAATGTTTCCAATTTCTAATCTAGTTAATACTTTTTAATTACTTTTTAAGATTCACTTGGATGACGTAATAGTCTTTTTTTTTTTTTCCTTAAGTCAAATTTTTCTTTTAACTCTTGTTTTGCTCAAGTTATGGTTATTTTTTATTTTTATTTATTTATTTATTGTTGTACTCTTAAGGCCTGCCATTTTCTTTAAAATTTTCGCCAGTCTTTGTATGGTAACCTTTTTTTTGTTGTAATGATCATTGTCATTATTATCATTTGACATCATGCTATCACATAAAAAATTAGTACTGCTAATACTTGCCTTACTTATATTTATCCAGACTTCTATTTTAGAATGGCTAGGAATATATCCCTTTGCATTTTCTTGTCTTATCTGGTACTTTTAGGTGCCTGGCTTCTTCTCTGCCTCATGTAGTCTGAGGGAAAGGGGCACACAAGGGTTGTTGTTTTATTGTAGGCACAGTGGCCACACCTGAATCTACTACTGTTTCAGCTACTGACTGAGGCTTTGCCATCACTGGCCCGCTGCTCAGGTGGATATGGAGGTCTGGTGGGATGCAGGAGTCCTTCCCACCACAAACCGCTACTGCCTTTGCAGTCAAATGCAGTTTTGGTCTGTTTTTATTGTTTGTTTTCTCTGTGTGACAGCTCTGGCTGTCTTGGAACTAGCTGTGTAAACCAGGCTGGCCTTGTGCTCACAGAGATCTGCCTCCAGAGTGTGTGGTTAAAGGGATGCACCACCACACATGGCCCGATGTAGTTTTTTTGTTTTTGTTTTGTTTTTTGTTTCCTTAACATAGCAACATATATCACACAACAGCTACCAAGTAAAAATCACAGCTAACAGTATTTAGTCCATTAACATTTAGTAAGATTTAAAGACATATTTCATCATCTATTCTATCTTCGTGAGTCTAAAGTCTTATATGTAATTTATCTTTAATCCTAACTAAGGAAAACTATAACCATAACTATTTGTCTTCACGTGGGACCACCCGTAATTTCCATAATCCCAAGGTAGTTTTTAACTAAAACTCTAACATCTATTTTGCTTGGAAGTCACATTCTGACGTGAAAACCTGCTAGCTGCTAGCTCAGAGAGGCTGAAAAATAACCAGATGACCTTCTTCCTTAGCTAGTGACCCAGCAAAAGCATCTGTTCACAATCCCAACCAAAAAAGAATGGCACACTCAAAATCCTTCCCTAGAACTTCCTGTGTTTCTATCTGTTTTCCTGACTCCCTCTAATCATCTATGGCTACTTCCTGTCAACTAGTTGCTGGTTCTGCCTCTTGACCCAAGGTTTCATTTAATTCAAACAAACTCAGGTTTTGCAGTGTTATCAAATATCCCCACAATGCAGGGTGGTTTGTGAGCTTAAGCAGCAGGAGGTCCTGGGTGGTCCTTGTAATGCCTTCTATATAGTCCTTCTCTCTCTTGCTGTGGAGATGTTGGATTTGTGGCCTTTGGTTTCCCAGACTCAGCTTTGAGCTTGTGTTATAGTATCTTGACATAGAAGCCCTGTGATGGGATGAAAGGTAGGAAGGAGATGTGCAAAGATTCTGAGAGTTTATTGACTCTGATTTCTCATCAATCTCTGTTCTTAGTTCTCTGTTGTTCGGGAACCTACTGTTTAATTCAATAATAACATTTTTTATTTTCAAATTTTAATGTATACACACACACACACACACACACACACACACACACACACACACACACATATATATATATATATATATATATATATATATGGGTGTTCACAAGCCACAGCAAATGTCTGAAAGTCAGAGAACAATTTATGGGAATGTTTTCTTCTTGCACGATGTGGAGCCCAGGGATTAAACTCAGGTTTCAGTTTGGCAGCAGGTACCTTTACCCAGTAAGCCATCTAGCCTGTTCACAGCTTGTTACTTCCTGACACATGATTACTCCACCTTCTCTTTTGGTTTTCACTGTTGAATTCCTTCATGCAAATAAAACTTTGTTTTTTTTTTTTTTTTTCATCACTGGGGAGTCACATTTGCACAGTGAGTAGAAGAAGACTCTTGCAAATCAAGGACTCTGTTAAATCTTATTAATTTTTTAATCTGCATAAGGATAACAACATTTTACAATGTTGGTATCTATTATAAGTAAATCACCATGTTTCCCAAACGGTGTTTTTCACATTTAAAGGATAATATAACTTGCTGCTAGTCTTCTGACTATATGAAAAATGAAACATTTTTTTCTCTTTTTCCAGGAAATGCAAAAGACATCCTCCTGATACATGAAGAAGATGCTGAAGAATGGGCTCTGTACTTGCAAGAAATATTTGTACATATTGTAGAAAGGGAAGCAATCCTGTTATATCCCTTGTGGTGTTACTCTTCTTCACATTTGGAATTGCTAAACTTACATGCTTACAAATGTAAACTCCTGATATTATCTAATAGTCTACTTAAAGACCTAACACCAAAGAGGTGCCAGTTTCTAGAGAAGATACTTCACTCACCAGAGAGTGTAGTGACCCTGCTTTGTGGGATGGAGAGTTCACATTCCTTCTTTGAATTGTTAAATGCCCCCAGGAGCCGGTGGGAGATCTCAGCAGAGCAAGGGCCTGAGGACTACATCTCTGTTGTCAGACAAATCTTATACACAGGTAAGAATGCCAAATCTTCTTTGTTGGGTTTTAAATGTTTATTTGCTTATGCTTTACAGTGGGAAGGCTGAAGAGGTTAGCCCATTGGTTAATAGCACTGGCTGCCCACTCTTCCAAAGGACCCAACTTCATTTCCCAGCTCCCACATGGCAGCTCACTAATCTAAAGCTCCAATTCCAGAGGATCCAACACCTTTTTCAGTGGGAACCAGGCACACCCATGGTACACAGTTAGACATGCAAGTAAAACATATATATATACATAAAATAAAATAACAATTTTTAAAGTTTTCTAAAGCTTATGAACATCTGATATAAGGCTAAGAATGGAACATGGATGCCAAGTTCACCTAACAATGTTCTGGCTGGTCCACAAAATGCATTAAGGTTCTTCATTTTTAGAATTATTTCAGTTAAAACTTAGCATTTGTTCTAAAAAAATGGCTAATGAATATATATATATATATATATATATATATATATATATATATATATATATTCATTCCTTTGAGCAACTTGGCTGAGACTTTGATGGCACAAGCAAGCTGTGATATGCTGTTTGCCAGTTTGTTTCTGAAAGATAACATCTGGCATAACTGGTAAAGCCTGAACGACTGCTATCTACACTCAGGTTGTTTCCAGTCAAGAGCAGTTCAAAGTCTAAAGACAAGTTAGAATGCAGAGCTTCTGTTGTTCTTACAATATCATGATATATTATTACAGAATGAAATGCTGTTATTTCACTGATCTTAAATGGCAAGTCTGTTCTAAGCATAGAGCCATGATATAAAGAACAGAACATGAGTTCTTATTCTTCAGCTAATTGCATTCCTGTGTGGTAGTCAAGTTTTGACACTAATGTCATTAAAGGACCTCCCTCTGCAGTGTTCCAACGTGCCATAGAGGTGTTAACATTCAGTTGCTTCTTTAGTTTCTCAGCCTACACATGGCCTTCAAACACCTAGCTTTGTGGCTATGGTTTTGCCTCTTACAAGGAAAGGGTGGAGTTATTATTTCACACTGGTCATATCAAGTGTCAAGTTTGGCTCTTTTGCTTGGAACATATTTCTGTATTCTCTTGTGACCACTTATTCTTGGCCCTGTCAGTACTTTAGTCTCTTAATGGGACAAACATCTCTTCTTTAACACATGGTAATTTGTTCACTCCAGGTGGGTTACTACTCTTTATAGCTGGGACATCAGCATTTATTAGTTCTCTCCAAAGAAGACCCTACTGGCTGTCTCTCCCGCTTGGCCCACAAATGCCTAAAAGCTTACTTATCTTTTCTTCACACAAACTATGTCTTTGCCATCCATTTCTAGTGTAATTAATTAATGGCATTCATCATCAGAGCAGCAATGCAACTATATCCTGTGGCATTTAGCCATTCCATACATGGGATCTGCACATGTTGCAGTTCTGTAAATTGAGGCAACATACCTCACACCTTCTCAGTGTCCTCAATAGGGTAATTATCTGCCAGAGCTGTAGTTGGAATCCAAAGTATTTAAACAAGGCAAGGCAAAGCAGGAACCCTGTCCCCTAGTTTTCTAGTACTCTGACCTTTACAAATTGTGTGTGTGTGTGTGTGTGTGTGTGTGTGTGTGTGTGTGTGTGTGTGTGCAGTGTAACCACCTATTTTTGTATGCATGTGTAGGTCATGGACACATATGTGTGCAGACTAGATCAATATCAAGCGACTCCCTCTCACTTATCACCTTACTTTTTTTTTTTTTTGAAACCACATGTCTCATTAAACTACCCATTCATCAATCTAAGTTGTTATAAGTAGGGATCTTTCTGGCTCCACCCTAACCCCCAAGACTACAATAGCAGATATATCCCACTGTGCAGTTGTTGGGAATCCAAACTCTAACCCTTATGTCTGTTTATGTTACATTACCAGGTAAGCCATTTCTTCAGCCATAAAATTAAGTATTTTCAAAGCCTGTTTTAGTTATCAGTATTCCACAACAACTCTCTGCAAAACTTATTTATTTATAATCATAAATGAGGACTGTATAGCAGGTAAGGTCCAGGAAGTGAGGAGTATCTAAGCAAGAATATGCTATGAGACTACAGGCTAGATGTCTAGAGCTGTAAACATCTTATGGCTCCAGTATGTGTGTGTGTGTACACCTGTGCATGTATCTGTATATGCATATCTTTATGTGGCTGCATTTTCCTGTATGTGTTATGTGTGTGTTTGAGTACATAGGGTTATCTTGTAATAGAGCTTCTGTTGTTGACACTTTCCTTTGTTATTATATCATCTGATGGTTGGCTAAAAATTACTCTTAATAGACTCCTGAAGGAGGTCCTTAGGAAACAATATTTTCAAATTCTACTATGTTCAAAATCCTTTCTTTTGCCGTACACTTGAAGTATAATTTGACTCAGAATAGATTTAACTATGTTGTCCTTTATTCTACCATTATAGGATATTAAGATTTTTTTTTACAAAGGGTCCTTTATTTATAGGTCATCTTAGTGGTCCACTAGAATGACTCTCCATCACTCCATATTCTGGATTACCACAGGGACATGTTTTCTGGTTTTGTTTTCCCCTATTTTCTGACATTTTATTCTTGAAACAGTTTCTTGAAGTAGAATTTTGTTTTAGCTTATTATTATCATTTTGTTTTCAAAGAATTCATTTGAAGTATTTGTGGGATTGATTTTGACTACGATGCACTCCTCTCACCCTTTCTAATTCCTTCTGACTTTTTGGTATCTAATTTTATTTGTATCTTTGACAGTTGCTCCTTCTTTTCAGGAGCCTCACTTTCTCTTTCTTACTTCTAATTTCCTTGTAAGTTTTATTGTATTTTTTCTTTGCTCATCCATGTGGCTCTAGCAGATTCATCTCTTGATCTTGTCTTGGTCACCTCTCCTTGACACCTTGAACTTCTGTACTATGAAACCAATTTAAAAATAACATCACTATTCATTACACATCCAAAGTTTACAGTGAGATGTTTGACAATAGTAATCTTACTGGGTCTCTTCACTCACTTTCCCTTCTTTCCTCTCTCTCTCTCTCTCTCTCTCTCTCTCTCTCTCTCTCTCTCTCTCTCTCTCTCTGTAATTTTCCAGTACATTAATCTTTTTAATTTTGTAGAAAAAATATAATTTGAAAGTTATGAGGAAGTCTAAATAATGTGCATCTAAATTATGAGTATTGCATGTTTCTTATCCTGAGGCAAAGCAGAAAAGATTAATGGCAGAATTTTAAGTGATTCCTCACACCCATAGTTTCTACTTTCTCTGAATAATTCTCACTGGACCATCTCTCTCTCTGTGTGTGTGTGTGTGTGTGTGTGTATGTGTGTATGTGTGTGTGTGTTTGTGTGCGAGTATCTGTCTATCTGTCTGCCTATCTGTGCAGATGCATGCCTACCATCGTTAGGTTGTAGAGGTGAGAAGACAACTCTTGGGAGTTGAAATTAAATTTTATAGGATAAATCCTCTATAAATAGCACACCACTAATTTGAAATGATTGACATTAATTTTTCTACATTCAAATTTTATACCTCAAAATTTTTAGAGTAATATAGATATACCAAATGGAAATATTAGAAGAGGCTGTTGAATTATTGTCTGCTGATAACTTCTGGGGGAGGAAGACTCAACTTTTAAGGTTGTGATCCAAGTGGATTGACCATATCTATAAGTATATGGGCAGCACACAATGGACTGGTGAGTTAAAACAAAGAAGCAAAATATGAAAGGAACTTGAAAGGCTGTGGAAGAATGGAGATGTTTCTGGGAGGAGTTAGGGAGGAATAGGGAATAAATATAATGTATTGTATGTACATTTTAAATTCTCAATGAATCACATGTGTATATTTAAAGGGATGTTGAAATATAACACACACTTCATAGATACAGGCATGAAACAAGAAAGTGTGCAGTTTTGGGCACACATAGTTTTTATGTAACAAGTTGGTCCACTTAACATTGCTACAGTCTGTTTAATGATTCATTTGTTCTGAGAAGCTCTTTTAGTGGCCTACCATGTTTTTATATTTCATATCATCATTCATATTGAATATATAAAACCTAGTTTTCAAGGACAAAAGATGTGGAATGCAATTCTTACTATCCATTTTTTTTTTTTTTTTTTTGCCTTCCCTTCACCCAATAGAGAAATTACACCAAGATAAGAAAAAGACCTTTTATTCGGAAACATGCTGTGATAAAAAGGATAATAAAAATGCCAGGGAAGTCATGAAAATAATTAAATGTTTAATATATTCACACAGACAAAGAAAAATCACAGGAAATTTTATAAAGTTTAATGAAAGAGAAAGATATTTAATAATTATAATACCCAGACAAAGTTTATAATTTTAAAAAGTTAAGTAGTGATTCATGTTTCATCTGAGTATTTTATTTCCTTTTAAGAAATTAAGAAAACTAAATTTCCTGTCTTGCTAATTCTCCAACGGAGACTAACACAAATTTATGTGAGCTTTCTCCTCACTGCTTTACAGCCACACACACAGCTTTTCTCCTGTTCATTTCATCATTTGTTTTTGGCTCTATACGTAAAACTTTAGTATTTCTCTCTAAGTTTCATTCATCATTATTTATATTATATATACATATATGTATAATATAAGTGTATATATGTATATACATACACACTTTTATCTCATTACAAAAAACATCCAGCATCCCTTCTGACTTGCTCTTTTAATTTATGTGAGAATTCACATGAGCATTATATTTACATACTATCTATCCCCTAGCCTTTCGGTATCCCCACCACTCACACTGAAATATATTATCTCTTCTTTATTATTGTTGCACACACATTCACTCATACCTATATGTGTGTGTTCACACATAAATACAGCCTGCTGAGTCCACTTAGTGTTATCATAAGCCTAAAACACTACATGTACATATGCACATATGAATACACTTGCATATATTACATATGTCTTTTTAAATGAAATGTCTTTAATGCTGACCATTTGGGATTCTATAACCT